AAACAATGAATCATGGAACACTACATCTAAAACTAATGATGTAATGTATGGGGATTAACATAAGAATAAAAAAAAAAGAAATCAGACCTTCAGAAGATAAAATGCAGGTTTTATGACAATCATTAAGGTATATGTTGGAGACTCATGCTGCCTTTGCAGGATGTGTGCGTGTGTTGATCACATTAGGAGTCTAGAAGAAATTTACCTTTCAGGGAATATTGTTCGCAAGTGTCTCAATATTTGCATTTATTTTAAATGTTTTTCATAGGATACCTTTGTGGCAGTGTTTTCATTTCTGTCTGGAAGGTTAGTGCACATTTCTGAACAGGCTACTTCAATCCTGAACTGTAAGAAAGACTTCCTGGAGTCTTCGCACTTTGTGGAACTGCTTGCTCCCCAAGATGTGAGGGTTTTCTGTGCACACACTGCCCACGCTCAGCTTCCCCTCTGGAGCAACTGGACCCAAAGAGGTAACGGGACCCATGCTCAGATGTTTACCTTGCCTCATAAAGATCAGGTTCATTCCTTCAGAAAGAGTACCAAAATTAACGCATTGTTTTGAACCTGCAAACTATATGATTTTTCTTATTTCTTTATTTAAAAAATCAGAATGTGGGGTGCCTGGCTGGCTCATTTGGTGGAATGTGCAACTCTTGACCTTGGGGTCGTGAGTTCAAGCCCCACATTGGGTGTAGAGATTACTAAAAATAAATAAAACTTTAAAAAAAAAAACAAAGATAAGGAAATAAGTAAATGAGAAGTCAGACGGTGTTGGAAACAGCATTTTAAATGCTTCTAATGACAAAGTTCCAATTAATAGGCTTTCATTTAGTCAAGTTAATTTTATAGGTTTTATATCATAAATATGTTTTTTTTAAAACATGGTTTGACTGCTTGTGTACCATATAGCAGGTTAATTGTTATAAAGATTCTGTTTTCTCTAAGCTAATAAAATTAAACATTTTCCCTCTTACATTGACTTCATTATTTCTTTGCTTGGCTTTGGAGATAAACTTCTCATGGTTAGCTCCCCTTCGAGTTTCACTTCTACCTAAAAGTTCATGAATCTCACTACTTTTTCTTCTGAAATCCTTATTTCCCTGAACTGGGGATGCCCAGTCCTAGTTTCCTTTGTGACTTTCAGACCTATATTATTTTTTAAATAATTCATTATTTCTTTTTAAAGTCATCCTTTATTACTTATTTCATATTCTTCGTGAAGCGTGTCTTAAAGAGCTTAGTGTAGATCAACCTTTTTCTTTTGAGTCTAAGCCCTCTTCTCTAATTTTTTTGAAATTTATATTTGATTTGTTTATTATGGTAAAAAAAAAAAACCATTAGCAAAATGTACCATCTTAACCATTTTTAAATGTACAATTTAGTAGTGTTAGGTACATTGGCATGGATGTGAAACACACCTCCAGAACCTTCTCATCTTGCAAATCTAGGGCCCTGTGCCCATTCTGACTTTCTAACACAGGACGTGGTCCAATGGAAACAGTCTCGCACGCTGCTTTTTTCCGTGGCAGACCTTTGCCCCGTCTTCTGGGCACAGGTTGTGAACACTTCAAAATGCACACCTGTCTTCCTTGCTTGTTTCCAGCTCTCTCCTGTTCCCCTCACTCAAAAACATTGATTTCATTTCTCTTCCTCTTTCTCGAACACGTATTTTCAATCTTTAACTGTCCATGTTTGTTTCTCTGCTTTTATCGATCCTTCATCCACTCCATAGACATTTATTCGGCAAGCACTGTGGACCGGGAGCTGTTCAGGGTGCTGAGATGCAGCCGTGAGCAGGGCAGGCGCACCATGGCGCTGTCAGCCTGTCGTCGCGCCTCCCCAGCCACCTTCCCTCCAAGGTCGCCTCTGTGGTCTCTCTGCTCTTTTCAGCCGTGTTATCCCTGCAAATGAGTTATTGCCGTGATATTTCCCCTCCATGTAAAAACATAATATACCCTGAAATTGCTGTCTTTGGGACCTAAATATTGACTTCCTCCTTAAAGAGATGGTGCTCCTCTTGGCTACTGCTCACTCTGGGCTTTGCCTCGCACACTTCAGCGATTCCAGCTCTTCTTGAGCCATTTCTGGGCTGGGCCCATGCTGCCTCCTTCTGCCCTTCCTTTGAGCTCATAGAACATGAAGGGGACATAGGAAGCTCTAAACTCAGCAGTTGTCAGCCTTTGGCCTGGCGTCAGAGCACGTTTCCACTTCGGTTCGTTGTGCAGACCTCCCAGAAAGATCTGACCACTGTTTCTTTAGGGTGCACTTCCAAAAACAAGGATTCACCCGCTACAGCCGAGGCGTGGAACTGATAAGGGGCTCGCGTCTCCCGTTTAAGATCCCACGGTCCGGCTCTCCGTCCTGCACGACCCCTAGAGAGCGCAGTTGAATTCAGGTGCCTAGTGTCCTCACGCAGAGTGCACGCAAGCCGCCCTTCGGGTAGAGTTGCGGTATTTCCTATGTGCAAAGAATTTTAAACAAGGAAATCTGAAGATCTGAGTTTTCAATTGAGTTTTGTCCCTTCATGAGCCAAGGGGGCCATTTAGCCTCTCACTGTAAAATCGTCGTCTTGTCCTACCAGCCTGCTAACACAGGGCTGCTGCGAGAAGCAAGCACACCGATGGTTGGGAAAGCACTCTAGATGTCTGGAACGTTCTGCAACATTAGAGGTCCTCTTCGTTGCTTCCATTCTATGGAACGGATATTGTTTGCCAGGGACTTTTCTTCATGTTTCAGTGGATTGACTCGTTTAATCTTCACAAAAACCTTGTGAGGTATAGATACCATCACTGTCCCCAGTTGACAGATGAGGTAGCTGTGTTAGTTTGGGTCTGCTGAGCAGCAAATGCCAAAATGGGGTCAGCCGTGTAGACGACTTGCTGTAGGGGGTGGGGGAGGGGGGAAGCGGTGCCCTCAGCCCACAGCACACGACTGACACCCATGGAGGGAGCGGGGACAAGGGGGACTGGGGAGGAGATGGCTTGGCCTGCCGCACAGCTCAAAAGACAGCTTGGCCAGGCAAGTCAAAGGGAAGTCCGAGCCACGGTCACGCACTGGAGGAGCCCTGCGTCTCCATGGAATGGTCCTGTCCCAGTACCACTCCGTGCTCGGGCACTGGACGGGAACAGCCACCCGACACGGGGCCCTGGGGCAGCAGCTGTGGCCTGTGGTCAGTTACGTCCCCTGAAGCTGGGAGCCACGCCCCTTCTCGGCCGCTGCGATCACTGAGGCACAGAGCTAAGGGACTCACCCAAAGTCATGCTGCTGGTAGGCGTGGAGCCTGGCGGTGTGAGTCCAGGGTCCTTGCTCGGAACCGCTGCCCCTCCTGACCGCGTCCATCCCTGCAGCCGGAACCGTCAATCAGGACATCTGTAGTCACACAAAGGTGGGCGTTTGAAAGCCACACCAAGGAATCAGTCCTGTTCATAAAAATCATCTCAAAAAATTAAGAATATTTTTGAAACATCCTTACCTTGCTGTCATTCCTCTGCAAACTTATCTGAGCCTTTCCTGGGGTGGTTTTGATATCAGGGCCGTCGGGTATCTTAGAGCAATGAATTCGGTGAGCTGACCTTGTCAGCTTGGTTCTTTGTCACAGATGAGCTGTAAGAACAGTCTTCTGGTTTCAGAATTCCAGGACTGTGACTTCCGTAGTGTTCTGAATTCTGACAGTTGGATCATTGGTGCCTTTGAAACTTGGAGTTTTTGCGTTTGTTTTGTTTTGTTTTGTTTAATCATGTACGTTTTCCCTGATCATTCAAAAGCCCATTTTCTGACTCTTCCCGTGATCCTCTCCTAAGAAGTGCAAAGACCTGGACCATGTGCCCTGTCTTGGTTCTTCAGAGCTCTCATTGTTTATGCTCCTTCAGTGTATGTTTGTAAAACATCTCCTTGGTTTTAAGCATTTCCTTGGTTCCTAAAACTGAGGATTTTTCACCCCAGTGAGCAAATGCCCAAAAGATCAATTCAAGGAGCTCTAAGCAGAGGAGAGCTAAATAGTCAACAAACACTTGGGAAAAAAAGGTTCGGCCCCTTGATCAAGGCAAACTTAAACATTTCTGAATTACCACTTCACAGATCAATAAAATTAATGCCAAAATCAATAAAACTGGTGCAACCATTGGCATGAGGGTTGTGAGAACATGTCGTTAGAGACCCTGTTGGTTGGTACGATCTTCTGTAGATCAGTGTGGCACTCCACGGTGAGAGTCCTAAGACAATCATGTCATTTCCGGGGCCCAACTTTGGGGACTTGGTCCAGGGAAAGAAAAAAGTGAAAGACATTTGTGAATCTATATGCTGTATATGCTGTAAGTTGTCCAAATCGGTTTCTGAGGCACGTCCAGACTGTCACAGTGAAATAGAATATGCCCACCAAAGTAACTGTGTCCCCGGATTATTGCCTTGACCTTGGAAGGAGGAGCTTGGGTAGTTTCAGCAGTTCAATGAGGGAAAGCCCTCAGTCCCACATATCCTCACTGTCTCCCTGAAGGTCACTGCTAGAGTACCAAAGCCCCCTGGAAAATACTGGATGCGACTTGATCTCAAAGTGAGGGCAGGAACCCTTTTTGAATCAAGAATATCTCCTTCTTTGAAAGAATAGTTTCTTGTTTGTTTGGGGATAGTTGGAGTTTGTCTTGCTGAGGGGAGCTGCTCTGGCCTATTGCTCTGGGAGGGGGTGATTAACACTTTTGTCTCTGTTTCCCGCAGCATCTCAGTACGAATTTGCTCCGGTGAAATCCTTTTTCTGCAGGATCCGGTAAGTCTAGGGGCTTGTGGGAGCCAGGAACGGTGGGTTACGCTCTGATTTTATTTGTCCCTTTTTAGATTCTTTTGTATTCAGCTAGCACTGGGTTCTTGCTACAAGAAGTTTTTATTTTGATTGAGGAGAAGAGCAGACACTCAAAAAATGACTAGATAATAATGCAGTCAGGAAAAAGAACAGAGAGATCATTCTTAGCCTGGGGGTGCTCGCTCGCTCTCATGCTCTCTCTCGTGCTCTCTGTCTCTCTAAGAACCGCTGGATGATGTTAATTACACTTTCAAATGCCCATTGTTTGGGAATCTTTTGGTTTTTGTTTGCTTTTTGACTTTTGGTCTCATTTAAAATTAATTTTTGAAATTTTACTTTATTTTTTTAATTTTTTTTTTTTTAAGCGAGCTCTGTGCCTAATGTACGGCTTGAACTCGTGACCTGGAGATCAAGAGTCACACGCTCTACCGACTGAGCCAGCCAGGCGCCGCTAACTTCTTAAATTTTTAATAACTCTGAAGAGAGTAAGATAGATATGTCTAAGAGAAGGATTTAAAAGGTCCAGACATAGTGAACTGGAAGAAAACAGACCAAAATTTTAATCGTAGTTGATTTCTGATAGTATTTATTAGTGATTTTTTTTTTCCTGTCCTGAATTTACTGTGATGTGTTCATGTTACTTTTGCAATTAGAAGAAAATGTGGTTCAGTGACGTCACGATTGCCAGCATGAATGTTGAAGTTAGTAAAGGCTCCAGATGTGGAAAACTCAAGAGAAGGCTCCTTTCCTTGTAATGGATCAGTCAGCCCTCCATGGGGTTGGGGGCCTTGAGCTAAGAGCATTCCAGTGCTTGGGGAGGGCTACCTTGGGGAAAGGGGTGCAGGAGGGAGGGCTGTGTTCATTCGTTCCTTCACAGATGAGTTGTTATGAAGCTCTTAGAACAGTGCTTGCCACAGACGAAGTACTGTTTGTGTTTGTTTTGCTAATAAATATATTTGTGTGCCTTCTCTGAGCCAGGCAAGGTTACAGGTGCAAAGTTCTTGCCCTCGTGGACCTTCCATTTTGTGTGTGGGGGGAGACCAATAACAGACAGGTACCTACGTACGTGTCCTCTGGCGGTAAGTTCTGTGTGGAACAGTGAAGGGGAGTGAGAGAATTCTGGGCAGGGGAGAGATTGCTAGTGTGTTCAGGGTGGTTAAGGAATGTTCTCTAATAAGAAGGCTGATTTGAGCCAGAGCCTGAAGGAGGTGAGGGAGCGAGCCATACCTCTATCTGAGGGAAGAGTGTTCGAGACAAGTGCAAAGGCCCTGGGGCAGAGCATGCTTGGCCTGTGGGGGGAGTAACAAGGAAGCTAATGTGGCTGGAGCAGAGGATGGAAGGAGATGAAGAAACAGGGACCAGACCGTCGGGAGCTTTGATTTCTGAAGGAAATGTTTTCGTTCAGGTTAAGCATTTATTTGAAAACTTTACTAGCGGAATTTGCAAAATAACATGGAAGTCGAGGCAATAGTACAGTGAACTGGTATGTACTCACCATTCAGCTTCAGTGACATTAACCCGTGGCCAGTCTTCTGTCATCTCTGCCACTGCCTGCACCTCAGCCCGCCCTCCCCGTGATCCTGAAGCAGATCTCAGACTGTGTATCATTTCCTCCATCAGCATTTCAGAGTGCGAGCTAAAACATAGGGCTCTCGTTTATCTCCATGATGCTCAAGTGGTCCCGTCTGCGGCCAGCAGGAAGCCCTTCAGGCTAGCTCCAGTGCCATGTGAGGGCACCCCTGTGGTCGCTGACAGCTGCCTTTGCTTCGGGCACAGTGGCCCAGGCCCCGCCTAGACGTTTCCTACCTCAGACATGGAGTCCGTCATTTCTCCGACCATCCCTCATTCCTTGTGGTGGGAAATGGCATTACCGTATGGAGACCAAGCAGGCTCCTCCTGGCTTCTGGGAATCCTCAGTGGACAGAGATAGGACAGTTTCATTTTTCAGAAGGACGAGAACTGGCATGAAAGGACCGCACTAGGCGCTGGGCTAGAGAAGGTGCAGGGATGCCAGGCAGCGGGAAGGGCTGTCACCCCGGGCGGCGGTGGCAGGGAGATGTGGAAATATTCTGGATGTTTTGGAGTATTCGGGATATTTGTGTACGGGAGAGTTATCGGAGTTCATTAATGGACTAGTTTTGGGTGTGAAATAAAGGATTCGGCGACGGTGACACGAGGGTCCCTGACTCCAGTGGCCCTTTACTGGGGGCAAAGGAAACCAGGAGAGCCGCCTCCTGGAGCGAGGAGGGGAAGAGTCCGGTGCCTGGTTTTAGACAAGTTGATTCGCCCTATCGGTTGGAAATCTAACTTGCAGGGTTGACTCGGCATTGGTACGTGGGTCTGGAGTTCAGGGAGAAGGTAGAGACAGGTGCTAGAGACAGGTACTCGGGTCGTCAGCATGGACAGGACATGAAGCCGGGGACGGGATGAGCCTGGGAGATGCGTGCACAGAAACAGGAGGGAGTGGGAGACACAGCACAGCTTGTGGGTCAGGGTCAGTGTCAGGCCGCTGTCTTTTCTCAGTGGCAGAAGTGGGGTCACGGTTGAGAGTGGAGGCGCCAGAGTCTGCAGAGAGGCAAGGAAGCGAGGTGGGGGTGGGAGCGCCAGGGCACGTGGACGTGGACAGCTAAAGACCACCTGACATCACTTCGAACAATGGTGGGAGAGGCGAGGTGTGACTCGTAGAAATGGGGGAGTATGGATTCGGTTGTGCGCACGTTGACACTCAGGGGACCATGGTGTATCCAAGGAGAAATGTCCCCCAGGCAGCTGGAGCTCTAAAACAGGGTGAAAGCCTGGGAGTTGAGCCGCCCCTGCCCAGGGAGGTGCCCCACAGCCGGGGCTGGGGCTCGCCGAGCAGGTTCTAGCCCTGCTCTCCTGCTCAGGCAGGCATGTAAGGAGCGCTTCCCCACGCACAGGGCCCTCTGCCCATCCAGGTAGTAGCTGACGCTATGAGACTAAGTCAGTCCCCTGAGAGAGTGTAGGTAGGGATGGTGGAGAGCTGGCTTCAGGGGGGGCATGATCACAGGGAACCCTGATTTCTGTCATGTGGTACTTGGTTTAGACGCGTGAGGTAAGACAGGTAGGGAAGTCACGTCGGGAAGTTACGGTTTGGGTGAAAAGAAAAGTCATGGGATGGCTAGTTCCATTTTTAACACACTAAACTGGTTCTCCATAAAACCTCTTTTTCATTGAATAATGAATGAGTGTAATTATCCTTGGGTATCAAAAATGTAAACTAACATTTCTTTTTAAAATAAACACATTTAAACTTTTTAGATTTGGATAGGTCTCTCGGAAATCACCAAGAAGGCGTCTCTCCTGGCCTTGTTTCACATTGGGCTCCCTGAATGCATCAGGACTGGTTACTCATCCTTTCTGTGCTTTTCAGGGGAGGCCAAGACACAGAGCAAGAAAAGCATTACTACCCATTCCGGATTATCCCGTATTTGATGCATGTACATAGCTCTACCCAGCCGGAATCTGAGCCCTGCTGTCTCACCCTGGTGGAGAAGATTCACTCCGGTTATGAAGGTAAGTCAGGCGTGTCTGCTTTCAGATCAAACGTAACCTGACAGTAGGAACATGTGAAAGCCTGTTTACGGCAGCCACAGAACCAGAAAAGAGTGCTGGAGGCTTCATGTTGGCCCTGAACTCTTGGGCATTTAGAGCTGATCTGCCCTGATGTTTCCTGACCCTGACTTCTTGGTGGTTGTCTCCTTCAAGGTCGGCGCGGCCCTAAGGGTCTAAGCACAAACTTGGCCACCAATACCTGGTCCTCTGATCCATTCTCTACTGGTGACTATTATGTGGCCTTTGGCTTCCGTCCTGTGTGAAACAGGAACATGGAACTTGGGGGCGCCTCGGTGGCTCAGTTGGTTAATAAGCACCTGACCATTGGTTTCAGCTCAGGTCACGATCTTACCAGTTGTGGGATCGAGCCCCGAGTCGGGCTCCATGCCCAGTGGGGAGTCTGCTTGAGATTCCCTCCATCTGCCTCTCCCCCTACGCACACCCTCTCTCTCAATAAATAAATCTTTAAAAAAAAAGAGAGAGAGAGCATGAAAATTATTGCACAGTGAGGTCACAAGAATGAATTTATATTTTTTACATGTCCAGAAAGCCCTTAAGCGAAAACTGTAGTTTCTATCCTCTGGTGGCAGAACTACATTTCCAAATTCATGGGTTAATACACAAGCAGCTTCCATTTGTTATTTGAAATTAAAGTCAGTTCTGGTGTAATCTGACATGTGCTTTCCTAAAAATTACCATCCTATGCAAAAAAACAACAACAAAACCCCACACCAAAACACACACACACACACACACAAAACCACAGGGCTTAAGGGAAAAACGTGTTCAGGGGCACAACACTCAAAAACTTAACCACACGTTAACAATGGGCCAGGAATCTAATAAAAACAATAACACAGCTTTACACACGTTAACTGTGAAGACATACACAGATGCTACAGTGCCTGGGCGCCTCACCTTGGAGAAGCCTCGCGGGGGCTCCCGGACGTGGCTGGTGGTGGGCCTGCTCCTCCTCAGTTAACTGTGAGGGTGGAAGGGGGGCCGTCTGAAGTCAGGTGTGGACGGGCGTGTCTCCTGTAAAACACGCGGCGCACAGAGGTAGCCCTAGATGAGGTGTGTGCGTGTGTTTGTGTATTCTTGGGGGACTCCCTTCACCTCTCGTTTCTTGCAGATGAAACTGTGCATGATTTCAAATCACTGCGTTTTCAAAGTGAGCTACAGTCGAACTGACCGTACCCATTTTCTGACACAGATTTAAAATATCCGCGTCATAACTGACACCAAATCCAAAGTACTTAGTTGTACACCACCACCAAATACCACCAGGCTTGCCGGGCCTGACCTTTCATTTCCCCGAGCTTTGACTGTGGGATTGTGATGAGTAAGCTTTCCGTGCACACGAACTCTATTTAAAATTAACTTCGGTAGGCATCGCATTTTGACCTACTCGAAATATAGTTAATAATGACAAGTATTATAATTTAACCGTAGCCTTGGCTTCTTGAAGGCCAGGGCCCTAAGTGAGATTTCTTCCATTTCATATAGAGATATTGTTCTCTCTTTAATGTAAGTGCTCAGTTAATGACTGATTAGATATTTGCCTTTAGGTGAGTCTTTCTGTTTTTCATAGCTCCTCGAATCCCGGTGGATAAAAGAATTTTTACCACAACACACACCCCAGGCTGTGTCTTTCTTGAAATAGATGAAAGGTAAGTGCTTCTTTAAGCCTGAAAGGAATTTTGTTTCTGAAAATAGATAGAAATATGAGAACATTTACATTATGTTTACATACCTCTCCATTATGAAATGGACACCTATTCATTTGCCCCTTTGATTTCTTAGCTTGAAGTTTATGTTTTAATATAAGTATCTTGCACATTATACGTCTACAGTTTACAAGTTATATTTGATTTCACAGTAGCCTGCTTTAGGTAAGTCAGGAATTATTGTTCCACGTTACACAAGAGAACAGTGAACCTGGACATGGTACGTGATTGTCCTCTAAAGCAGACCAAAACTCTAACTCTGGCCTCGAGCTCCTGTGCAAGCATGATTTCCACCAGACGAGTGCTTTGCTAAACACCTTTTGATGAAATGTTTATGAGTCTGAAATGAGGGGGAGAAACAAAAGGAAAAAAAGAACAGTTTTTTGTTTTTTGGTTTTTTTTTGGTAAAGCTAAGTTTACTTAATTTAAAGCATCATCAGTCATTTTGAACTTCCGTCTTTTCCACTTTTTTTTGGTATTAAAGTGCTCTTACTTAAAGAATAGTGATATAGGTAGTAGTCATTGCTTATTGTTGTTTTTTAATACTTTCATTTGGAAAAATAAACATTGTTATCCCCTGGTGAGTACCCTCTGTTTCCCCCCCCCCGCCGCGTTTATTTTTGAATTTTATTTATTTGTGAAATCTGGAAATCTGGGGCTCAGTGCACCATGGCGCACATAATTGTAAAACAACAAAGTCAAAACGGCTGGCACAGTTATGATCGCTCTTAATTTTGATTTTTTAAAAATCTTAACATCTGAAAATAGGTTTATTTTATAATGGATACCCTGAATCTAAACAGTAATTGGTGAAATACTTTGTATCATGGAGTCTGTAGAGAGTAAGAACATTTAGCTGCAGATACCATGGTAATGGCTTAAATTTATTGCATTAGAAAATGTTTGTGAATTTGTACACACAGAAAACATTTATGCAGTCAGTTCCTTCCAAGTCATCCTTAAGGTTCTGCATTCGTGGCTTTCCCTAAAGCTTCATCCTGCACATGTCTTTGTGTTCCTGGTGTCTATTTGTTACTACCTTATGGGAGACACTGTTTCTGTGTGGTTTTAATCGTGCTGGATAAATTTGTAGCCTGCTTTATTAACTTAAAACCATAAGCATTCTTCTGCGTTATGACGTGATCTTTGTAAACTTTTTAAATGGGGAAGGGGAGGCAATCAGAGACCCCCTGAGGAACTTGCTAAAAATACAGATTCCTGGTCTTACCCCAGAAACCGTGATTTAGTTAGCCTGTGGTGAGCCTATGAATCTTTTTCTAGCAAGTTCCATAGGCGACTTTGACACATGTCCAATGCCCAGCATTTCTTAGATTATGGAACCATTTCCCCATGGTGTGGGCACTGAGGTGGTTTGCTCCTTTTATAAATGCTGGAATGACATCTTTTGCATACCTTTTTTTTTTTCATATTTAGAATTAAGTAAAAAAGTATTGTTTAAAGTGTATAAAGTCTGAAAATTACTTGTTGCATGTAACGTGCTGTCTGTGCTGTGTCTCTACCCCAGAGCGGTGCCTCTGCTGGGTTACCTACCTCAGGATCTGATGGGAACGTCTGTCTTAGCGTATCTGCACTCAGAAGATCGTTCTCTCATGCTTGCTGTACACCAAAAAGGTAAGGACCTGCTTCTTTATAGGAGGAAGTTTTTGTGTAACCACTCATCCGCTCTAATTCTCCATTTCATTTCTTGTTAGATCTTCTCATAAGCTCTTAATCACTAGAGCTCAACCTTTAACAGGTGAGCACTGTGTTGAAGCTGCTAAAACAATTTTTTTTTCTATTTTGACATCTGAAAAACTTACCAATAAACGCTTAGAAAAAGACATCTGCAGTAAATATCTGCATTAAATAAATTCTAATCTCGTCGTATTATCTTATATAGTCTTGAAGTATGCAGGCCACCCTCCCTTTGAACACTCACCCATTCGATTTTGTACTCAAAATGGAGATTACGTCATCTTGGACTCCAGCTGGTCCAGCTTTGTGAACCCATGGAGCCGGAAGGTATCGTTCATCATTGGTCGGCATAAAGTTCGAACGTAAGTCAGTCAGCGTTCATGGTTTTAGAAGAACGTTTTTACCAAATAGTATTCTTCCACCTACTGACTCCCTTTGACTCAATTGATACATAAACCAAATAAAGCACAGATTTTTTTTTTAAGTGCTTTTGGAAGACCGTTTTGCAGTGTATGTCAAGAACCTTGAAAGATTTCTACCTCTTTGACCTCATGATTCCCTTATGGAAACAGTCTAAGGAAATAGGCCTAAATACAGAAGAGCTTTATAAAGAAAAGACACATTTGCACCATTGTTCAATCATAATGGCAGGCTTAGAGTAGCTTATATGTTGATCATTAAGTAAGTTCTAGACTATTTGTTTGACGTGTTGTATTATTGGTCAAAGGAAATTTTTGCAAAGATTATATAACATGAGAAATTGATATATATTCGATTTAAAAAGCAGCATACGAAACTTTTTTTTTTAAGATTTTTTTTATTTATTTGAGACAGACAGAATGAGAGAGAGCAAGCACATGAGAGGGGGGAGGGTCAGAGGCAGAAGCAGGCTCCCTGCCGAGCAGGGAGCCCGATGCGGGACTCGATCCCGGGACTCCAGGATCATGACCTGAGCCGAAGGCAGTCGCCTAACCAACTGAGCCACCCAGGCGCCCCATACAAAACTGTTTATACCATATGAATATATATGTGTTCAGATGACACACAAACACTGTGAAGTAGAAAAAAGAAGAAGAAAGGAAATAAAATACAAATTTTGGCTATGTGTAGGGTAATGGGATGAGGGTTGGTTTGTTTTGGTTTTGTTTGTTTTTTTTTTTTTTTGTCTTTTCTGAATTTTAAAGTTCTCTTTAGTGACCACGTAAAACTTTTATATCAGCTTCTGCTGTCAAATTCCACTTACATTGTATCAGATCTTTATTTTTAAAAATTAGATGCTTTAGCTGTTATTTTCCTGCCAACACAGCTGACTCTGGCCGGTTTGATTACTGCTACCATCCATGTAACAGAACCTTGTGAAATGAATCTGGAACAACCTGGCCTGCTACTCTTGTAGCCTAAAATACTCCCAGTCCTTTGACTTTTTGGTTTAAAATTTAAAATTGACCTGTAGGTTTCTCAGCTGGGCCATAGGTTCCCCTGTGGTAACGTTTTGGTTTTTTTTTTTTTAGCATGGAAATTTTACTTAACTCTTTAGGATCATGCTGAGATTGAGACATTATGTCTTTTGTGTTTTGTTTTACAGTTTTGTGCACATTAGCGTAAAACTGAGAACAGTAGGTCTACCAGTAAGACTTCTTTTGTCATGTTTTAATACTGTAATAGAGGATACCTAGCCATGGTGAGAAACGGTCCCAAGGTCCTCCTATGTCTTTGTGCTCTGGGGTTTGGCCTCTCAGCAGAGCAGGTCCGGAACCCTAATGGGAGAAATGCGCTCCATGCTGCCTTAACTCAAGAGACCAATTTGTGCTAGAAAACTAATGTAATAAGTAGGATAGGAAATATGACTGCCAATTCAGTGTTATTCATGTTGGTCAGAAAGGACTTTTTTTTCCCGGTAGGGAGATCTGTGGGGAAATGAAAATCAAATCAGGTGGTTCCTTAGTATGACCATAGGAAACCCCAGAGCAAGTATGATTGCTCTCATGAGGTGTCCCTCTGGGTGTCTGTCCATCGGTCTGCGTGCCTTCCCTGACAGTGCCAGAGCCATGTCCTAGATGCTTCAGGTGTCCTTTCAGTTTGATTTTATAACGTATGAAATTAACTGATAAGTACTCACAGTGTTTGCAGTTTAAAAAAAAATTATAAATTATACCAGCATTTGCATCTCCGTTTCCGGGATGATGTGAAGGAAAAACTTAGAGACTACTAAGTGTTCATCACTCTTGTAAAATAATCATCCACTATGTTTATACAACTGTTTTAACGAGGACTTCTGGGTCACCTGCTGTGCCGGGCATTGTGCTAGACCCTGAGACTAAGATGGTAGACCACACAGACAGCGTCTCCACTGTCCTGGGGCCCACAGTGCAGTGGGAGAGCCAGGACCTAGAAATGGCACATGTGAGTGGAGTTTTGGCAAGTGTGAGGTTGAAATGGGAACAGTGAGGGGGGACAGGGAGGGTGTTCAGCAGGGAACCTAGCCACCTCTCTGTGGGCAGGCAGGTGATCCTACAGACAATATCCATATACTCGGCGAAAGAGTAACTTTCGCAGAGGTCCCTTGAGGAGGAGGTGGGGAAGTGGAGACAAGAACCAGGTTTTCTCCCTGACTCCTCGAGCAGCGTCCTTCCATAGCCAGTCACCTAGCACTGCACAGCATTTGCCACTTTCTGGTCAAGGCTGCGTCTCCACAGCCTGCACGTTCATCATCTTGAGTTACATGATTACTGACTAAAGACACAACCTGGCTTTGTAGAAAGTTTCACAGACAGGAGTAGACCTCACAACACAAAGCAGTTGGTTCTATTTCTGTTCCAGAATTTCATTTGACAGACAAACCCAAACGTTTCTGGAAGGTATTCAAGCTCATAGTGCGTGGACGTATTTATCACGGGTCAGATGTACCTTACCCCCAGACTGCTCCTTCCCTGATGGATTCATTCTTGTACGTGCCTGTTGGAGGTACCAGAGGGGTGAACACAGCAGAGCAGAGAGCCTGACCCCACAGAGCTCACATGCCAGTGGGAAGCAGGGGGGCACAGGCATTAGACGGGCTAAGGGGGTGCCGCGCACAGTGTGTCAGGCGGTGCACTCAAGCACAGTTTGCCGTGTACGTTCCACATGCCCCAGGCCGTGCCGATAGCTGTCGGAGGGCACCACCCACGGTCTGCCCGCTGAGGGAGACGACATTGCCACGGGGGTCTGCACAGAGAGGGAAGTGGTCTCCAGAGGCAGAGCTCTTCCTGACTACTTTTATGACACTGCTAATATCCTGTGGTTTTTTTGATAATTGTTTCTTTGGGAAAGTATGTTTTTAGGGAATTGGGTTGTGCGTTTAAGTTGTGAGAAACAGCAGGATGGCAGAATGGAAAAGGGAAGGCACTGGCTTTGGAGTCAGGCCTGTAGATTCAAACCCTGACTGCTGCTTCTCAGGTATGAGAGTCAGCAAGTAACCCAACCTCTCTGGCATCACGATGATTCCTGCTTCGTAGGGTTGGGAGGACTCAGGAGATGACATGTCTGATCAGTGTATCACGTTAATAGTACTTGAGTTACTGAGGTGCTGAGAGGCAATACACTGTGGTGGCAAAAGTGCACCCCGAAACCTAGACTCTGGTCCCTTCATGAATACCTGCTTAGACTTTACCAGCTAGGTGACTTTGAGAAGTTTTCAACTCCAGTGAAGGAGGTAATACTTGCTAGAGCACTTGGGACGGTGTCTGGCACATTGTAAGGATTTTAAAAACGTTCTTCTTGCTGTATGTTATAAAAGCAGCATGGTTCCTGTCACATAGAAGGTCCTAAATGAACATCATTTCCTTCTCTTCTTTGTGATGTTTTCTAGCTGGCACACCTGCCTCTCACTGTGTTCAGGTAGTAGTTTTGAAACACTCTAGTGTAAACAAGACTGCAGGTTGTGACAGCCACAGTTTCATCAATGGTTGGGTTGCTGAAGCGATTAGGTACATTAAACATTAAATGTTGTTTGGCGGACCTAGGGTCTTAAAATTTCTACAATAGGTTACTCAGTTAATGTTAAATGTTGAGACCAGTGGTTGTTGAAGATATTTTGGTAGCTAAGGAGGTTACTCGTCACTGATTTTAGATTTCTACAAAAACAGTGCTGACACAGATGTTGAAAGACTAGAGCTCTAGACGATCCAAAGAAGCCTCTTAATGTCTTAGTATTTTTTCTGCTTCCACAGATGGGATTTAGCTTTATATTTTCTATTTGAAGTCAAAGAGTTGCTCTGTAGAAGTATAGATTTATTATTTGAACATTCTGTTTAAAAATCACTTTAGACTTTATTGTAAATTTTGAATTGCCTGACTCCATCTTGCACTTGGCACTTTGTAGGAGTCCACTGAATGAGGATGTTTTTGCTACCAGAAAAAGAAAGACGAACAGTAATGACAAAGACATAACAGAATTACAAGAACAAATTCACAAACTTCTCTTACAGGTAAAGTGAGATTTTAAAAAGCAAACACAAAATTTCCATAATCATGTTTTATTTTAACAGTCGATCTTAGTGAAGTCACCTCACAAAAATACACCGCAAGGAGAGAAATCTTTACCCTCTGCGTTCCAGGAATTTTTGTCTTCCTGTTTTTGTTTTTATTTATTTTTTATTTTTTTAAAAAGATTTTATTTATTTATTTGACAGAGACAGACACAGCGAGAGAGGGAACACAAGCAGGGGGAGCGGGAGAGGGAGAAGCAGGCTTCCTGCTGAGCAGGGAGCCCGATGCGGGGCTCGATCCCAGGACCCTGGGATCATGACCTGAGCTGAAGGCAGACGCTTAACGACTGAGCCACCCAGGTGCCCCGGAATTGTTTTTTGAAATACCGAAGCCAAAAGCCAGAGGTTGAGCACACGGTAGCGTCCGGAATACATGAAGGATGCTCTCATTTAGAAACAGCTTCCCTGTCTGACCTGCTGACTAGCTTTGCTCTCTTGGAATGGGATCTTACAAGAATGTTCTGTGCATTTCACTCAGGAAAAGGAAAACAAGATGAATAAAACTGAATTTAAGAACAAAAACGGGAGCAGGGGCCATCGGGCTCCCTGCTCACTGGGAAGCCTGCTTCTCCCTCTCCCACTCCCCCGGCTTGTGTTCCTGCTCTTGCTATGTCTCTCTCTGTTAATTAATTAATTAATTAATTAATTAATCTTAAAAAAAATTCCAATTTTAAAGGTGGGGACAGAGGGATGGCAGGTCTCTGGACCTGGTTATTACAAGGCAAACGTGGGGGAGACTACCTGTTGAAAACAAATGCCAATAATGATTCCTATGGAGATCCCGTTAATAAACCAGAAAAGCGTTTACGGATAGTGTCCCCGAGAAAACTGTGAGCCCCGTAGCTTCCACACGGTCTTCCACAGAATCTCTAGGGTTCACGAGTGAAGTTCATGGCACAGAGCATGGTGTATATTTAATTTCTTGTGTCTGTTCTAAACTCTGCGTAAAGAGCTAGAGTTTATTTCCATACTTTGTTCAATCTGTTATGTGGCTTTCTAAAAATTCGTTGTTCTAGAAACGCCCGCCTAGACTAGAAAACGAGGCCCTGCCCTGGAGAATGGCTGAAGGGAGAGAGGAAGGCCCTCTTTGTCCGCAGCCGAGTTAAAAGCGTCGGCCTGCACACGCCCGACTTAGGGGTTCAGGGAGGTCCGTGCTGGCGTGAAGTCTGAGGTGGACGCTCTGGCTCTCCCCGCGGCCGCGGCCCCGGATCTCCTCCTTCCTTCAGCGGCGCCTCCTTCTTCCCGCAGCCGGTTCACGGGAGCGCCTCCAGCGGCTACGGAAGCCTGGGCAGCAGCGACTCGCAGGAGCCGCGCCTCAGCCTCCCGTCGTCCAGTGAGTGCAGCGCAGCCCGCGCCGAGGCGGCGCGCGGAGAAGCGGTACGTGAGCGGCGTCGTGCGGGCGGGCGTGCGGGCGGGCGGCGTCCTTTGCGTCCCTGCCTGGTGGGGTGAGACGGGTCAGCACCACTTCCGCGTCTGAGCGCGTGGGGCTGTCTGTTGTGTGTCCTTGACCCGCTGGCACCGTGTTTGATGAGCAGACGTCCTAGTCCGTTTTGGGTTGGAAAAATGCCTGTGAAAAGAAAACAGCACCTTTGCAAGGTGGTATTTGGGTTCATCGTGTGCTTCCTAACAGTTACCGAACTGTGGACAGACTTAGGTAAAGTTGCCTTTGTACCGGCGTGCTGCGGCCCAGGGGGGAAGCGAGTTAACGTTGTTACTGTGCCTTTAGTCATGTCTTCAGAGAACCGGGGGTTAAACGTACTTCATCTTTTAATGTGTGTCTTGTTTATCTTTTAATTTTCTGATTTTTGAAACATATTCTGTCGTTCTTTTCCCTCAGCTGACTTTGCAGCAGGTCTGTGCCAGTGTGAACAAAACTAAGAATCTAGGTCAGCAGCTCTACATTGAGTCAATGGCCAAGTTACCAGGTGAGCGAGTGACGGGGACGCGCGCGGGACGGCTTGGCGGTGAGTCAGCAGGGCCGCCCCCGACCTCCTCGCGCGGGTCTGCCCTCTCCTGCGTGGGCGTGGTGCGTGCGAGCACAGAGCCGCGACCCTGTGCTGCCTGCCAGGCCTTTCACGTTGACTTGTCCAGGTGATGACTGAAATAATGCTAATGGTAGCAGCGAATACTGCTCTGAAAGCTAAACGGTGTTAGAGTGTAATTTCTGTATATTTCCACTGAAGAATTAATGTTTTTGATAATACCAACAGATTCATAGATTCTCCCCCATGAGGCATCTGTCAACAGAGAGAGTTAATTGTAGAGTGCGTCTCATAATAATCCCTTCTTGTCATTGAGAACAAATGAAGGATATTTATGACCTAAATTGAAGGAAAAACTGGGGACTTTTTTTTTTTTTTGATACATGTTTACTTTTCTCAGATACGAGGTAAGGAGCATTCCAAAGGAATTGGATCACTCATGATAATTGACGTTTTTAGAAAAGTCAACTTACTGGCTATTTTAAAAAATAATAGCTATATTTTCCAGGGCTTGCCGTAATTTACAAAACAAAAACATCCACCTGCTGCTCCTACAGATGATATCATGGGGAGCCTCTAGGCTGCCCTCTGGATAGAGCATGTCCAGCCCTTGAGTTTTTCTTGTCTCCTTGGCAGGAGGTTTAATATTCTGCTTGTCTCTTTTGCCATAGATGCAAGGGCACGAGATAGAAACAACACCTTTTTTGTCCCTTGAACCTATCAGATTCTCTCTCTGCAAAAGAATTTATTTGAGTATCTTCCTTGCTGTATATCCTTGTCCTATGTCCTGGCATTGGAACTTCTTTAGGGGGATTTGAAGACTGAAGTTTCTAAATGTTTTCTTTTTTGTCTGGTCCACTTTGTGCTGCTCACTGCTGCTTGGGCCTAGGACCTCACGTTAGGGCCACGATTTTATGTCCTGACCTCTGTATTTCTTGTCAGAGTACAAATTGTTTCTCACCTTCTGTTTTGTTCCATTTCTTATCATCTACCATTGGTCTGGAAATGCTATCAGTACCATGGCTTGAAGGCTATGTTTTTAAGCAGACATCAATATTTCATCATTCACCATTTTACAAAATTTAAGCTATAACTAATTTTGTGTATTTATGATGCTATTCTAGAAACTGATATTATTTTCCTACTTAGCTATGTGCTGTATTGGACTCTAACACACATAGGATGTGACTTTTGGGGGCGAGGGAAAATCTGCCATTTAATATTGCTTGGGGGGAACTATTGTTACTTGGGCATCTTGATTTTTAGCATTTTAAGACTTACAAGTTCAAAGAGCTAGTAAAATATCTTTATTACTCTTTACTCAAGAGAAACAAGTATGCAACTTAAAGATAAAAATGTTGTAATTTAAATATTAGAAATAGCACCACTCTGGGGTGCCTGGGTGGCTCAGTCGTTAGGCGTCTGCCTTCCGCTCAGGTCATGATCCCAGGGTCCTGGGATCGAGCCCCGCATCGGGCTCCCTGCTCCGCGGGAAGCCTGCTTCTCCCTCTCCCACTCCCCCTGCTTGTGTTCCTGCTCTCACTCTCTCTCTCTGTCAAATAAATAAATAAAATCTAAAAAAAAAAAAAAAGAAAAAGAAAAAAAGAAATAGCACCACTCAAAAGGAAAATACTAAATAATCATTTTATACGTGTTTTATATACAGGGTGTCAGAGCCAAGAAGAACATAAGGTTTTAAGTTTATATTTTTACCTTTCTTATGAGGGCAGGTTTGGCTTTGAAATAGAACAAGAAGGGAAATTTTAGAAGTTACTATGGAAAGGCAAGGAGTAATGAAGATCTAAAGCCCCTTCATCAGCTACACATACTGATGCCACCTGCCAGAAGCATTTGGGGAACCTGGGGAAAATGGACTTTTCCACTTCTAGAGTGTCAGCGCCTGAGGGAGAAACATTGATCCGTGAACTGAACTCACTCAGCGTGAACATGCTTTGGTTTGTGCTCAGGGAGAGCTGGAAAGAGCATCATTCCAAACTGACAAGGAAAAAAGCTATATGGCAGTGAGTTCATGAGCTTTCTTGAACCCATCAGAGTGCTGAGGCTCCAGGGCAGCCAACAGGCCTAAAATCTAAGAGGGACACATGCTTGCAGGCAGACGTGAGATCAAGCCCTGGATAGTGGTGCACCGGCTGACAGGACAGCAACTCGCAGGAGACAGGCCTCTGAGGCATAATGCAAAGGGAAGATCATGGGCTGCAAGTGGAGCAAATATTGGCAAAAACCCAAAGCTCTCTAGCACACCAGCCACCACATAAGCACAAAGTGTCATTAGAGGGATTTGAAAGCTGTGATACATTGAGTGAAACCATAGCAACAACAAATCTCAGTCCTGGCCAACAAATTAGTTAGGTTAAATGTCTTCAGAGGAAAACTAAAGCTGTTAGCCCAGAATTCTCTACCTAGTGGAAAGTGTCTTTCAGAAATGAAGGAGATCTAAAGAGTTCTCAAACAAAAATGGCGGGGGTGGGGGGGTATTGCCAGCAGATCCATTCTATGAGAAACACTAAGGGAATTTCTAAAGGTGGAAGGAATATGGTACCAGATGTAAAACTTGAATCGACACAAAGAAATGAAAAGCACTGGAAACAGAATGAAAAAATTTTATTTTTTACTTATTTTTGATTGCCCTAGAAGGTAACTGACTAAAGCAGAAATACTCTCCTGCATTTATGATCTATGTAAAAATACTATAAAGGATCAGGAGAGGCACTGGGAATGTGCTGCTATGGAGTCCTTACACCAGAAGCAATATGTCATTTGAGGGTAGAAACTGATTCCTTAAAGGTATATGTTGTGAACTTTAGAACAATTATTAGAATTCGTTTTTAAAGAAGTATAAATAATGTCAGTAGAGGAGACAAAGCGGAATTTAAAACATTTTATGCAAAATGAATCAGAAAAGAAACAAAAACCCAGATGGAATAAATGGAAAACAGCTAGCAAAGTTGCATACTTTTAATTCAGCTGTTTCCGTAATCACATTAAATGTGAATGTTCTCAGTGTACCAGCTGGAAGACTGACATTATCAGTTGGATGAAAAAAGGTAAGAAGCAGCTGCATAGTATCTACAAGAACCCATTTTGCAAATAAAAACATAGGTTAAGAGCAAAAGGTTAGAAAAGATATGCATGCTAACAGGGATCCAAAGAAAGCTGAAAAGCTGTATTAATATCAGGTAGTGTAGACTTTAGGACAAGGAACATTACCAGGGTTTCAGAGGGATACTGCATGACAACAGAGGGGTTGATTCTCTGAGAGCAGGTAACAGTCCTAAAAGGTTATACACCTAACATCAGAGCTTCAAAATACATGAAGTAAACACTGATAAAGACTTTGAGAAATAAATCTGCAGTGGTAGTTAGAGACTGTAACACACCCCTCTGTGTAATTGATAAAACAAGTGGACAGAAAATCAGTAAAGATGTAGAAGACCTGAACAGCACTGTCAACAAAATTGGCCTAATGGACATTGATGGAACACTCCAATCAACAACAACATGATGTTTATTTTTCTCAAGGGCACATGGACTGTTCATTAAGATAGACCTTATTCTGGGCCATAATACGAGCCCTATCAGTGTTTTAAAAATATAAATCATAACAAATATATTCTCTGACCTAATGGATTAAACTAGGAATCAGTAACAGGAAGGCTTATCTAGAAAATTCACAAATGTTGGGAAATTAAAGAACACACCTCTGAATGACCCAGAAGGGACCCTTCCCTTTAAGAGAAGTAAAAACATTTTGAACTGAATGAATTGAAAAAAAAAAAAACAAAAAAATCGTGGAATGCAGCTAAAGCAGTGCTTAAAGGAAGATTTATAGGATTAAGTGATTATATGGGAAAAAGAAGAAAGGTCTCAAATCAATAATCTAAGCTTCCTCCTTAAGAAACAATAGCAAGAAGAGCAAATTAAATCCAAGCTAAGCAGAAGGAAAGAAATCATAAAAACCGCATTATCAATGGAATCGAGAACAGAAATCAATAAGAGATAATTAATGAAATCAAAAACTTATAAAATTAAAAACCTTTGGCCATACCAAACAAGAAAAGAAGACAGAAATGCTCACTATTGGGAATGAAAAACCCCACAGATGTTAAAGAGATGACAAACAACTCCATTCCCAAACTTTGGTCTATTAATATCTTGAAAGAAAGAACCTATCAGAACTCAGTGAAAAAGAAATAGGTAGCTAGAATAGACTTATGTGTATTACAGATACTGAATTTGAAGTTAAACACCTTCCAAAAAGAAGTTTAGGCCCAGCTGGTTTTACTGGAGAATTCTATCAAACATTCAAGGAAGAAATAATGCCAGTTTCTACATAATATTTTTCAGAAAATAGAAGACAGAAGAAAATAGAAGAAGGACTTTTGGAAAGGAAACTCCCAGACTCCTTTTATGAGACCGTTATTACCCTAATACTGAAACAAGATAAAGACAGTTCCAGGAAACTACAGGCTTGGATCCCATGTCAATATATTTGAAAAATCCCCAATTATATATCATCAAATCAAATCCAGCAAAGCATAAAAAGGAGAAATATATCACAACCAAGTATGATTTATCCTAGGAATGCAAGGCTGGTTCAATATATGAAAGTCAGCCACATTTATTCACCGTATTAACAATAAAGAAGACAAACCCAACAGGTTATTTTAATAGATGGAGAAAAAGCCTGTGACAAAATTCAACATCCACACATGATAAATGCTCAAAAATTAGAAGTAGAAAAGGGATTTCATTAACCTAACAAAAAAGGCATCTACAGAAACCTATAGCTAATGTTTATGCTTGATGGTAAGAGAATGCTTTCACCCTCACCTGGAGAACAAGTCAAGGGTATCCACTCACCATGTCTTAACATCAAACTGGAAGTCCTGTGCCCAGGGCAATAGGCAAGAGAAATAAAAGGC